CAGCCCACTTGCTCCAGCTGTTACAGTACATGTTGAGGTAACCTTAGAAAGACTTTGTGAAGTCCTGCCACTTTGCAAATGGTCTAATATCCTATGTGCTCTCTCAGGAGAGATGTGGAAAGTTTGAATTATTCAAGCAAATGCTCATCTTGAATGTGTTAGTGGTATTAAAATAAATGAGGATGCTTGCACCTATTTTCTTTGGTATTTCCCTATATGTGACCTAATAATTGCACTTTGGGCTGAACTCCAGATTTAGTAGGTTCATTTATCTTATGGATTCAGATGGGACCTTGTGGTGGGGTATGTCACTTACTCAGCACTGGTAGGGTGTAGCTACTAAATTTCTGCTTCTGAACAGATGTCTCTGAGAGTCAGTGCTGATGGAAACTTAAACATCTAATGACTTCTAGCTCCCTAGATTTGCCCTGATTTTGAATTACTAAATTCTGGATTCAGTGCTAGTGAATCACTCCCCTTTAACTGCCTAACTTAGATTTCATGAATTTGGAGCTAAGACTCTAAGTTAGAAGAAATGGAGTCAGTCCCTCTGAGCAAAACTCAGTGCTGAATGAAACTTGAGAACTGTCTAGAACTGTCAGTCAACTGTTACTGATAGAATAACTTACATCAACTCTAAACCATACTTTCTTGAAAGCATGAGAGCTGAGGGTTGTACCTATGTGGGTAGAAACTTTTTTTCCCTGTGACAGCTGAAGTAATGTTATAGGCAAACTAACTTTCAACTCTGCTGGTACAGCAAGGTATACAGCAAGGTAGCTGTATACTGAAGACTGCAGAGACATGAAGAAAGACCTTTTATCTTTGAGCATTGGTTTGCAGAATGTGTATGATTAGTTAGAGTGGAGCACTATGGTAAAATAGGTTCTGAAGTAGTGAAGGGTGCTGTAACTTGGGTTTTATTGTCTTATGAAATGTCCTGGGAGACCTAGTTTTAAAAATATTTTTAATTTTTTACTGTGCTGTTTTAAGTAGAATGGATTTAGCTTATCTTATTTACCTTGCAGCTTGTATAGCTAAGATTTACATGCAGTTAACAGTCTTGTGATTCACTGTTGCACTAGATCTATAAAGTAAAATTATTTTGTTACTGTTGCAGGTTGCTTTTTGCATGTTTTGGTCCTCATTTCACTTGGGGAAAAGAGGGCATGTTAACATCTGAACAAGGAGTATGTATTGTAGCAGTTGCAGGAAGTTAAAGGATCGAGTGTATTTTGTTTATATGCAAGTCCTCTAGTTTATGCCTCCTATAATAGATGAAAAACTATTTCTGTACCTGCAAAAACTGAAAAGCTGGGCATCAACAATAGAGTTAACTCTTTGCAAGTTGTGTGGTTGAGAGCAACAGTAAATAACAGAAGTTGAGTGATGCTGCTTAGTGTATGCATAAATACTCTGTTGTGACTTAGGTGATAATTTATTAGCATCCTGCCTCTTGTTGAACAGGTTTCTGATCACAGAATCTCCTTGAACACCGTTGTTCTGATTAAGTCAAAGTACTGCAAACATATGGACTAAGGGAAATTAATTCTCATCTCTAGGCACAATAGAACTTGAATATTTTATAACTTAATAGGGAAAAGAAGTCATTCCCTGAGCGTTATGTGCTTAGAGGAGACCGAAATTGTTTGTTAATCTTTTTGCAAATGCTTTAAAGAATTCTTGAGTACCAACTGAAGTATATGGAGTTTTTATACACCTCCTTCCCCCTATTGTTGATGCTAGACTGAAGCAGTGATACTGAATATGGATTTTTCATATTAGGATTAGATTGCGGAACAGTTGCAATTACATGACAGTTTTTATTCTGTTACATGTGAATATTTTGTAAGCTGCTGCTTTCCTTTGTTGCAGTCTTCCTTACTGGTTATTCCCTCTTAGGGAGCAGGACAGATGTTCTTGTCTGACAGTGTTTTAATTGTACAGGCCCAAGTTTCTGGGAAGTAAGACAAGTGACACTAATTAAGAGGAAATGAGATTAAGAATGTTCAATGTTAGAATATCTGAGAAAGTCCCTATGGAAACACTGTACCTAGTAGTAAGGAGAAGTACTTTTTAAAGTAAACTGCTGAGCTAGATATGGAGTATAAATTGTTAAATAAATAAAACCTTTATGAAAACATATGTATGTAATTACATACTGGATACAATATTCCTAAACAAACGCTTGAACTTCTGAATCACTGTGAAGACCTGAAGCTCTTTCTAGACGAGCAAGGAGCAATACCTGCATTTTGAAAACCTTTTCCCTTTAAAGAAAGTATCAGTAATTTAAAAAATAAAAAATAAAAAAAAAAAAAAGAGGGAGCTCTCTCCCCTCCCCGTCGGCCGGCAGAGGCGCTCGGCAGAAGCCGGATGCGGTCGCTGTGCGCTGGGCTTCCCGGCTACACGCCGGGCTGCAGCGGAGCTGGCGGCGTACTGTGGGGCCACTGGGCGGTGCATCAGGCAGCAGTTCAAAAGCAGAGATGCTTCAGGTCCTCAGCGGCTGGTACCGGCTTGCTGATTTCTCTGTGAATATAAGGATCACACAATGAGTTATGCAAGAATGGGGAAGTGGGACACAGAGTGGTAGGGGCATAATGCAGTGCGGATAAGCATAAAAGTTTAGGTTAAAATAAGGAATAGTAGTAAAATAGTGCTTGTAACGTGGAGGGGGGATAGTCTACAATTCTTCTTTGTGACTTGCAGTTGCTTGTTTAGCGTAGTCTCATCTGTTTGCCTATGAGGTCACAGCTGATAATCCACTATAATCACAAAGAATCAAATAATGTTCTTAACGTTTTCATTTTAAAATATAATTAAAAATTCTTAATTCATTAAGGAAACCCACACGCTGACCTGTGTTTGTAGATAAATTCTCAAACTTTTGCAATACTGTTATGAAATCTTTCATTAAAGCAGTTAATGGATCTGCATGTGAAGTTTTACTGGCCTCGTAAGTTTATGGGGTCATTGGTAGCAGAGTAGGATAGTGCTATGAATCCAAATAGTGCACAGCTCTTTCAGTTCGGGTCTTCTAATTTAATTATCCCAACCTAAAAGAAGAGGATTTTCTTTATATGCTTACCATAGCAACTGTACAGTAATTCTGCATAACTGAGGGTTGGGGAAGAGTGGTTTTTTTTTTTTTTTTTTTTTTTTTTTTTTTTTGTTTGTTTTGTTTTTAATTCCTTGCTGTTTTTAAAGCTTCAAGGAGCTCCATGTGAGTACTGAGTTCCCCCACTAAGTTCAAAGCAAGAGGGCAGTATCAGAACGAGGAAGAGTTTAGAAAGATTTTGGATTATTCCAGAAGTAGTTACCTGAATTTTCCGCAGGCACGTGATGTAAACGTAGTAGTGAACACACAGTCCATAGTTTTAATAAGAACTTCCTTAATTGATGTGATGTGTGTAAAAATAATAGATAGGACTTGTGACTGAGAGAGCCTTGAAGAATGACTTAAGAAAGCTTAACAGATGTTTGAACTACTTTCAGATATCTAAAACGAAATAGGAGATAGCATAGAAGTATTTCTTCATTTTAGAAACTGGAGATGGGGGCAGGTGCTGCAGTCCTTTGGAAGTAAGCATCATGAATGGGATGGGAATGGTAAAAGGACTTGCAATCAAAGCTAAATGGCTTGTGTTTGATATGGCAAAAAGAGTGTGAGAAAAGCAGATGTAAGTAAAGTAAGGAAAATTATTTTTGTAGCAGCTCTCTTAAGGGATACAGGGAAGGTAGCACAGCCAAATAAAGGGTTTTCAGTACTTACAAGTAAGATGACAGTCTGAACTGTTAGCTATGGATGTAAGTAGTGTTGTATGTCAAGAGAAAATAAAAAGATAGAAGATGAAAATTTGATTTCTTACCAGTCTTTTTGCTTAACCTGTAGAGTTGGAGCATAGAAGTTTCAGTTGAGTCATTACCAATAAGAGATACGATAAAATACCAGTTTGCTTTAAATCCATGGGCTCTGGGATCATCTGTTGCTGATGGTGAACTTCTGTACAGTTCAAAGAAACTCACATTTTAAAAAGAATATTTGTATTTCTTATTTGGCAAGACTTCTCCCCTCTTTTATAATAAATTATTTTTGTATCTTTACTGTGAACAATGTATTGGATGTTGAGGAATCACTTTGTGGTTCCCAGGATTTCCTCTACCATCTTCAAGTTGCCAAGATCCTATGATTTCTGCTTCCCACATCCAAGTTGTTTTTTTCAGTGATATTCTTCAATACTCAGAAGTGTTCTCTTTAAGAACAAGTGTTTTACTGAGTGGCAAGGGATTTGCTATCTAACAGCATATAGACAAGGTATTGAATTGTTAATTACTTCTGTTTTTGTTGAAACCACATCTCTTTATTTCCAGTTCTGTTTCCTCCCCCTTTTTCCTCATGAAGAGCCCCAAATCTCTTTTGCAGTAATTTGCTTTATCGAAATATGGTAACCTGTTTTCTTTGTTCAGTCCTTACGTATTATATGTATTATACACCATGGTTCTGTTTATCAGCTGTGTAAGGACAGTAGAACAAATTCTGTTACAGGACATTTCAGATACTATATGTGGAATTTGCTGATTGAAGGAAATTGCCAGGTCCATGAGTACAAATGGCTGAGAGAAAGGAAAGAGTAGTTCTCTGCGCAGGTAATGAATTAAGCTGTCACTCAGTAGATTAGATGTGAATAAATGCCTTATTGCCTTGCTCAGCAGTGAAGCGGTTGATTTCTAACGCAGGTTTTAATAACTGATGTGCTGTTTTGTTACCCTTATTCACATGGGTGCTCAGAATAATTCACGCGTTCCTCACAATTTTGCAGTCTTGTGTTTAAATTGATGCTGCAGATGCAGGATTGGAGTGAAAGCTGGGATAGACTCGTGCTGTAGCACACCGGGTGATCAAGGGCAGTTTCACAACCTACGAAAAAACTTCCAGCTGTATTGGTGAGCATATAATTAAAATGTGTACATGGAGGGGGTTCCTCATTCTAGTGTGATGACCCCGGGCTGCGGGGGTCTCCCAGCATCCATCTTCGCCCTCCTTAGCGGGCAGTGCCCTTCCGCCGCCGGGGCCCCTCCTCGCAGGAGGAGGCAGCCGAGGAGCACCGCCGGCCTTGGGAGGGCTCCGCCTGCAGGGGGCGGCGGGCGGCGCTAGCGAGCGGCGAGCTGGCTGGCGGCGCGAGGCTCTGGAGCTTCTGAGCCGCGCTCGCTGCGAAGGCTGACGGGCAGAGGGGAACGGAGCCTCAGCGTTGTCCTGCTGCTGCTCGCCGCCGTGGCCATCATCGACCCTCGGGGTGAGGAGCCGCGGAGCTGCGAGACTGTCCGGAAAGTTTTCCAGTTGCGTCAGCTCGGCTCCCTCAGGAGCGTCCCGAAGTTCCCGCGGGCAGGTGAGGGGAGAGCGGGAGGCACCGCAGCGGCAGCAGCGAGCTGCGAGTCGCTCTTCAGCCGCCGGACGGACGGGGAGGACCGTAGGTCGGGCGGTGGGTTGAGCGCCGAATGGCAGGGGAGGATTGGCACGGCTGCAGTGTGCGCGTATTCTACACGTTATCTAGATAAAATCCTAGTCTTAATAATGGAAATTTGAGTGCATCGTAGTGTTGTATTGAGAATGAAGCTTCTGAAGTGGAAATCATAAATATAATGAGAAGTACTTTCCTGGATGTTTGTTTGTTTTCTTCCAGTCTTGTATGTCAGTTGATTCGAGTTGTACTTCTGAAAGTGCAGTGTAAGGATATTTTCATGTTTGGGAACATAAGAGACAGAAAATACTTTTATTCTCTAAGTGCATAATTAAATAATATCCCTATGTGTAAAATCCATTCATGTTTAGATGTGGATTAGTAAATGTGAATCAGTGCTTTCGTGACAGAAACTGACTTCGATATACAGCAAAAGTTGAATTAATGTCCACCTTACTTAAAAATGTTGTTCATCACTTCCTATTCTAAGATAATTGGTAAAAGTATTTATTCTGCAAGCAGAGATTAGCTATGCTTTATCTATTCCAACAGGAATCACTTCAAAGTAGAGCTTTTGACAGACTGACTTGTGAACTGAACTCTGAAACGTTGTATTAAACTTAGGATTATCTGTTATTATTATGATATTGTAGTTAGGTCACCAGTACACAGAATAGTATCCAAGGCCTTATTACATTATCTGTAGCTTAAGCTTTTATCATAACCTTCACCAAAAAGAAAACAAATGCTTTTGTTGGAAAGCCTGTTTAGGTTCTGTGCAAATGCAGATATTTTGTCTGAAAACAAACAAACAAGCAAAAAAAAAAAACCCCAAAACCCTGAAGCACTGTCAGTGACATAAACGTTTGGTGCTCATTGAGTGTGTATGAGCGATACGTTGATTGTTACTGTGCTCTTCTCCATCCATAGTCTGGTGTAACTATTGTACTTATGGCTCCAAAATAAAAGATGACATATGTTCACTCCCATACTGAGAGTAGGGAGGAAACGTTGTTACCTCGAGGAAATAAGTGTAGTCGTTATTTATGTATGTAGTCACTCAGCCTCCTGTTTACTGCATAGAAACTACAACAAAGAGCACAATAACACTATTTGGTAGAGCAAATTCTCAGCTGCAAAACACTGCTTTTTCAGCATAATCACCACTATTAGCTGTGTATTTTCGCCAATGACAAACAAGAACCTCCGTCTTATGCTTGTAAAATTCTTCACCGCAGAGGTGATCCACTGTCACTGCTGAAATGCATAACCCAACCCTCAGTGTGCTCACATCCACTGTGCTTCACAGAAGTTCAGATAGCATTGATGATTTTTGACGTGTTTTTGGTGTGGAAGAATTCAGTGACACACCTCATACGCACCACCATGTCAGACACCGTTCTATCAGAATGACCCTCTGCTGCTGTCACATGGCAACAACATGCAATGGGATATTGGTGGGAAGATTCAGTGTCTACAGTCTTACCATCAACATACGTCCTTGTATGTAAGCAGTTTATGTAGATGCTGACTTCTGAAAATAGGTGTTGGAGCTGCCTGTAGGAGTCTGAGTTTGTTTATGAGTGGGCTTCCAGCACTGTTTGTGGTTTACTGGAGCCTCTGGAATATCTTGGCAGGACTGTTAGCTGCCATCCTCTGGGGATGCTTCCTCTGCTTCCTGGAGTGGGAGTGGGCACCAAATGGGAACCATCAGCCCCATGCATTTTGGCAATGGATGATGGCAGTGGGTGTCTGGAGCAGTCAGTGGTGCCCAGAGCTCTTCAGCTGATTGTTAGATGGCATGTTCTAGTTGCCAGGCTTGTCTTTGCACCAGAAAGCTAAGTTCAGTGATTTATTGAGAAAAGCTAACTTTTCTGGAATTGTAGAATCAATCCCATTTTTTTTGTTTCAAACTCTGAACAGATTATTTGAATTTTAGGAACCAAGCTAGACTTCTTTTGGCAATTTTTGGAGACCATTTATGGTGTCATTATAATAAAAAATGTAATTAAAAGAATGAAGATGTTGATTAGTATGAAGTTTATTGCAAAGACTTTTTGGGAACAGTTATATGTACAGAGTTAAATAAACAAGGCAAAAAACTGCTTGAAGAATGTCTTAATGTCAGAAAAAGTTGGTGCCTAATGCTGTTTTGCTAATTCAAATTAAAACATTCTTGCTAGTTCAGCTTAATGTAGCAGTTAAATCAGCCTAAGGTCTGGGTCACAAGCAACCCCAAACACTTTTTTGAATTCTAATTTAATTTCCAGTGCAGTTGAAATTTCGGGGAATTTGGATTTTGGCTTTATTGGAGGTTAAATCAAGAATCTGTGTGTGCTTCTGCTATTTGTTGAACGTGTTCAGATCTCCAGAAAAGGATTTGAACAGGGACAGGAAGTGGATTATGCAGTGGTATCAGTTGAGGTCCATTTTATCACATCTGTGTTTTCTAAGGATTGCTGCCTGTATTGTGTTTGTGAGCATAAGCTGCTAGTTCCTGAATGCAGGTAACATTTCACCTCTTGCTCTGTAGAAGAATATTGCCTGGGTGCCTGCCAGTAGGAAGGGGATCTTGTAGGATGCTACAAAGGAGCCAAACCTGTACCAGTGCTGCCTGTGATGTCTTTGGAAAGCCATGTGTAGGATACATCTTCTCTAGAAATGCATTAAAAGACTTTCTGGAGCCATCTAAATGGAGCCATCTAAATAGAGCCACAAAGAAGTCAGCAGGGTGAACAGCCCAGGGTTATGTGCTCGAGTTTGATCCTTACCTCTTTTATTCAGCAGTGGTGAAATACTTTACACTGATTTTAATGGCGATCATTAATGTGGGGCGGTGGCTGTAATAAAGGTTAGTTCACAAATAGATATTAAAAGATGAGCATGAGAAATACTTGCATGATACAGGTTGCAAATCTTTTTTACAGTAAACCACTTGTTTGAATGACTGCTTCCAGCCAGTGGCATTTCAGTGCTGTCTCTTTTTAAAGACTGTTTGTCATGACAATCCTGGGTTTGTTTTGGGATTTTCCAGTCTCTGGATGTGATCTCATGAAAGTATTTGCCTAAGCAGACAGGCAGAAATTTACCGTGTCTGGTCATTAACATCCTCATCCTGCCAGCACTTGCTTTTATCCCAAGCTACTGAAAATATGGATTTCTAGGATGAAGACTGTGAATCAAAGGCTGAAATCAGTTCCAGATCTTCTGGGAATAGATAGAATTACTATTATGGATTATGTTTTATTCTTGCTGAGCTCTTTTCTACTCTCATTGAGATTGTTTCCAGTTATAAAACTTTTCCTAGACTCTAACTGTATATTTTAGTATATATTTATTATAGGGTAAATTGTTTCATTTTTCTCTCTGCCTTGGTTTTGGATAAAATGCAAGTTGTAGTTATAGAGCCTTCAGAATTCAGTATTCAGAATTCAGTACTGGAAAAAAAGAGCCACTGTTCATGCAGTTAGAAAACTTTCTAACTCTATTTCAGAATATTTGGCAATTAACAATTCTTGCCTAGGACAGTAAGATTTTTACTTGCAAAAACATTTAAAAATGTGTGTCTTTTATTTTAGGTTGTTCTGAAATAGGAAGTCCTGATTCAGTTGCTGGTGTATTCTCTTTGAACGCTGTCCTGTCTGCTGTTGCTTGTTCCGTAGTGTTTTAATGGAATAATTAAAAAACCCCTCAGTGGACTCTGAGCAACCACTCCATTTTTAATTGGTTGGACTCTTTCACATGTTGCATTCAGTTACTTTTTCCTGACCATTGAAATCAGCTCTGTTTAATTGAGCTGGAATGGAATTAGGTCAATAAAATGTACTTTGTATGTGTGTGATTAGCAGTCTTAAAGTAAAAACTAAGTTCCCTTAGGGTTGGAAGCAATGGTTAAAAATATGCTGCTTAAAAGAAGTATTTACCATAAAATCAAAGGAAGAAGAGAATATTTGAAGAGTCAATTAAAACCATAAACAAATATTCATTATTGTATGAGAGTTTTGCTAAAAGTCTGAATGTCTTCTTGAAGCTACACTGTAGTCTGTAACAAGCTTAGGTAAAAGTCCACATTAGGTTCTGAGAGACAAAATGTCAGAAAGCTTGAAAGCTAGGCAGTGCTAAACAATGAAAATACTAAGTGCAGTTTGGCTAATACGCCTAATCTTTAAATTATTTAATTTCAATAGTAGAGAGTTATGCATATGTACCTACATGCACAAAGAACTGCATGTGAGCTGAATCTGTGCATGTTGTTAAAACTGTAATAGCAGAGTCTCTATATACTGTGAAAGTGGCACAAAAGCTTTGTGCAAGGTCAACTTTTCTTAACCTTGTATGAAAGAAGAAATCATTGCTTCTGAGAAATGAAATTGCTGGTTACTTCTGAGGGGTACCTTTGTCACTCATCGGAGAGGGCCCCTGGCAGAGTGGGGAGCACTAGGACTAGGTTGGGGTGACTACTGGAAGACTCTGACAGCAACACCACAGCAGCCCTAGCGGTTGTGCAGAGGTACAGTGCTGGTGCTGACTAGTGTGCTGAGGGGTTGGGCAAGTCTCCTCAGGGTAACGGCACCCTGGGCAACTAGTTTTGATGCCACAGTAAAATAGTGTTATGTTACCAGATGATGGATTGTGACCTCATGTCCCTCCACTGCATATGTTGGGGTGCCAGCAGAGCCTTGCCCATCCTAATTTGTTCCTGGACTTTAGCTGAGAGTGTTTGCTTGCCTTGTGCTGTAGGGCTGGTGGCAGCTGTTTTCAGCCCATCCCCACAGCATCACCTGTGTTTCCCCAACTTTCACTGGCTCAGGCAGGTGGGCCTTGCAGGTCATGCTTCACTCAGCAAAGGTAAGTGATGTGGAGATGCATAGCTGGGGCAGCTGTGGCTGGATGAGTGTGAAGAAGAGAGGGACCTGGGGGTGTTGGTTGATGCTCGGCTGAACGTGAGCCAACAGTGTGCACAGGTGGCCAAGAGGGCCAATGGCATCCTGGCCTGCATTAGAAATAGAATGGCCAGCAGGAGCAGGGAGGTGATCATCCCCCTCTACTCAGCACTGGTGAGGCCACACCTCAAGTACTGCGTTCGGTTTTGGGCTCCTTACTGCAGGAAAGATGTTGAGGTCCTGGAGCGTGTCCAGAGAAGGGCAACGAAACTGGTGAGGGGTCTGGAGCACAAGTCTTATGAGGAGCAGCTGAGGGAGCTGGGATTGTTCAGTCTGGAGAAGAGGAGGCTCAGGGGAGACCTCATTGCACTCTACAACTTCCTGAAGGGAGGCTGTGATGAGGAGGGGTTTGTCCTCTTCTCCCAGGCAACGAGCAGGACACGGGGAAATGGCCACAAATTGTATCAGAGGAGGTTTAGATTAGACATAAGGAAGAACTTTTTCTCTCAGAGAGTGGTCAGGCACTGGAATGGCTGCCCAGAGAAGTGGTGGAGTCGCCGTCCCTGGCAGTGTTCAAGAAGCGTCTGGATGATGTGCTGCGTGATGTGGTTTAGTGCTAGTGGTGGCAATGGTGATGAGGAGATTGTTGGACTGGATGATCTTATAGGTCGTTTCCAACCTTGTGATTCTATGATTCTATGAATGGCAATGAAAGAATGGTTCACTCTCATTTGATAATATTAAAATACGCTGATTTGCTGACATTAACTGTACCAGTTAGAGTACGTAAGATAACCTCTGCAACTACTCTTTCATTTCTGTGTTTCAAAAATGAAATAGTTGAGATAACTATAAGAAATACAAATAGTTTTCTGTATATATAAATTTGTAAGTACATCACAGGAAAGAGAATAAGTGGAATCAGTTGTGAATATTCTTAAAATGCATTAAATTAGAACACACCATGTATTGCTTAAATTGTACCTTCCTTGTCCTTTGTAAAACTAGAGAAAGACTATAGATCTGTACCTTCTAACTATAAGGAAAAATCTCTCTAAAGTTTATTAACTATTGTGATTTGTTTCTGTACAATGCAGTGCCTTTATATTGGTAATAAAACAAATGTGTTATACTTGAGGATAACATCAGGCATTCCTTATATTTTAGACTGGAATGGACTAGAAATGGAATTGAGTTAAAGCACTGTGATGTGTTCTCAGATGAAGGTCAAAAAGAAAAATAAAATTGGTTCTCTTAAAAAAACATAGAGCCTAAAGGCTTTATTCAATAAATCTATAGCCTAAAGGAGTACTTCTAAGTTCTCAAGAAATGTTTTTGGGGAAAAAAAGCATGGTATCTCTACATTTAATAGTCACTGACTTTAATCAGTGCTAAAATCTAATTCTTTATCTCATTAGCAACTAAACTGAAGTGTGTAAGAGTCTTCAAATTGCACAAGGAGAGAGAGGAGGTAATCCACTTGTGCCATATTATGTGGCTGGACACTGTGGTTCTGTTCATCTACTGCAGCTCCCTTGTAGCCTCTGTCTCTGAATCCTCTCTGCTCCGTACCAGAGGGAGAAGTCAAAGATATGTCCAGAGCCCAAAGCAGTAATTATTCAACAGAACACATACTCCTGAACCATGAGTGACGTTTTCATGGGATCTCACTGCTATGGTACTGACAAGGATAAGATTTGGTAATTCTAATTTGATTCTTAATTCTAAGTTGATCTAATAGCAGATCTGACCTGAGCATGTTAAAATTGCTATGAACATTATATTAGTATAATGTTCGTAAGAGCAGAGTGACTTGTTGGACACTCTCTTCCTAATGCAGCCCAGGATACATTGCCCAGAAGGGTATACTGCTGCCAATGCCTGCTGCATGCCAGCACACCCAGGTCCCTCTCTGCGGGGCTGCTAACTCTGCTAACCTGTACTACTGCGTGGGATTATTTCTCCTCAAGTGCAGAACCCTGCAGTTGCCTTTGTTGAACTTCATGATGTTCTCTGCCCATAATCCTTCGGCCTGTTGAATTCTATCTTAATGGCAGCAAAGTCCTCTGGTTTATCTGCCCCTCTGCCCAATTTGGTATCATCAGCATACTCTACTCAGTAGGTTAATGTTTCTGCCTGAGCTTTTTGGAAAATGTTATTTAAAACACCTTAATTTATGTAAGGTAACTAATGGAATATGAGATGTACAAGCCATGTATGCTTCCCTTTTTCCGTAACTGTATTCATAATATAGAATATAGAGTGATTTATTAGAGAAAATATGGAAAAACAGTAGAAGAGTCAACTTAAGAAGCATTACGATTTGTAGATCTAGTGGCAGGGAAATAAGTTCAAAGAGATGGTGTAATAGCTTGAAGCATGTATAAAGGCAAGGTAACACAGATTTTTTACTTTAGAATTTCTTGCTTTTTTTCTTCCTCCACAACCACAAATTCCAACTTGAATCCTCAGGGATGATGTTTTTATAAAAAGATATTTTTTAGTGTACAATAAGAAATACAGTACTCAATTGCTCCTCTTGAATATCAGTGTGCCAAACATTTGAGAAGATGATCATTTCTATGAGCTTTTCTCATCCTGTTAGTGAAGTGGTAAATTGTCATGACAAATACATAGGGAATGCTGGTCATTAGAGAAAGAAACAGTAAAATATGTTAGACTAGGATTTATGACTGCTTCATATGAAAGTCAGTATGTTTATTATGTACCTATCGGGAATGGGCTTTCCACCACTGTTCTGTTATATTTAGTAGCAGTTAGATCTTTTTAGCCCACGATTTACAGCATGAGAATGCTGGCTATGAGCTATGGGCTGGATCATATAAGCTAGCAAGTCAGTATTCCAAGTGATGTACATTGCATATTCTTTGTACTTTACCAACACTTGTTAGCAATCTTCACAGCTGGAATAAGATTACGGCATCAAAGTAATGCTGTTATATGACTAAATATGACTAATTAACTGTAATAAGGGTACTCTTCACACAGAATGTTAGTTACTACTGCCATCTAAATTTGTTTAACGCTAAATGTCTTTAAAATTCTAGGCATGTCTTTTAAATGTGTATAGTGATGTTTAAAAAAAAAAAAAAAAATCTATTTTCTCTGTGTATTGTGAACTTCTATTTCATAGTAATCACCTTTCTCTAGGTGTTGATCTCCAGGTTTGTACTTCTAAAAATCCAACATGCTGTACCAAAAAGATGGAGGAAAGATATCAGACTGCAGCAAAGCACGCTATACAGCAAGTACTTCAAACATCTAGTGCTACGTTAAAATTTTTAATATCGTAATGCAGCAGCTTTTCAGGGTAAGGCTTTCTGCTGCTTGTTTCCAAACTTCTTCATTTTCATTTTTGTTTGGTTTAGTTGTGTAATTTACCTGTTAATTTTTAGTTCTAATGGAAATATGTGGAGTTTTGTTCTTGAGATACACTTCTGGGATCAAATTTTGTTCAAGTTGTGTAGGCTTTTGAGTTTTTGAATTTCTAAAAAAACTCTGAGTTGATAAAAATAATAATAAAAAAGTGGGAGTTGAACCTTAGTTGGTCCAATGCATGATGGGAACCTATCTGTCAAATTAGTAATTGTCTGGGCTGTTGGTGGAATTGTGTTTAAGTGATTTCCCTACACACCACTCAATTTTCTCTGAATTTGAAAGTTAATACAGAAATTGGTCAGGAGTTGGGAAGATGTGAGAAACAGTGGCAGTGTATGGTTTTATTTCCTTTGATGGAAAGGGATATAGAGTTCACACATTGAGGACAAAATCCTACAGTATTGTCATTTTTCTATTAGTGTACTTAGGGCCAATTGGATGAACAGGGTAATATGTTAATTTTGCACAAGTTTAGGAACTTGTCTTTCCAGCAACAGCTGAAATGCATTAGCAGATGGACTTAGCTTTAATAGCCATTTCATGACCATAACTCTGAATCCAAAGGCCTTCACTTTTTGAAGTTTAATTATTGCTGTATTGCTAAAGATGAGTTGCTCTCTCTCTTCTGGAAGCATTGCTACTATTGTATTAGTATTGTATTAGTCTGCTCAATACAGCTGTCCATGGGTGTCATGGGCATCACTGGTAAAATGTACAAAAAAAGCTTTAACTTTCTGTTTTCTGTCTTCATTCTTCCTCCTGACTTCTGTATTTTAGCCTTTTTTTTGCACAAAGATATGTTGTATTGGATTGAAGGGCTGCAGACTTTGTAGAACTGAGGAACCAACTGTACTTGCCTTAAGTGAGGGCTGTACTCTCTACTGTGTATTTTTAATACTCTCTTCTTTCCTCCAACCTTAGGAGAAGAAAAATCAGAAATGATAATCCATTGATTATCATATTATTAGTGTATTAGTGTATTATTGAACCGTAATCACTCATTTAGAGGCTAACAAGGAATGTGTGCACTCTTTAACTTTCCTAGTAATACCATTTGACAGTATAGAAAGGAACTAAGAAAGAATTAGTGATTTTTTTTTCATCTTCCCAAGGAATCAGTAATTATTTATGTTCACAGTAGAGTTTGAGAACTTCCCAAGGATTACCTTATTTCACCTTTTGTTGAAACACACGAGTAGTATTTGTTGCTGGAACTCAAGCTGTCCTTGGATTGCTTATGAATGTGGCAGCCTTTCACCAAAATAGTGGACTTAGCAAGTACCCTTGTGTACAAAAAAGGTAATCACTATGCAATGATGACAATTACTACTACAGGGGAAAACTCTACTGCATTTGTGATGTAATCTCTGGAGCATATTGAATCATGCTGCCCTAATGCAGTTTTATGTTTGTTTTTGTTGTTGTTTTTTTTCTTTTTTTTCCTTTAATATTTTTACTACATAACAAATTCAGAGTCAACTTTAACCGTAATCATAGTTAAGTGAATAGACAGAGATTGTTTGAAGTCAAAGTGGATTTGCTGCATTTAAATATGATAAAGTTGCAACCAGTAGTTAAAGTAAATTATATGAACTAAAAAATTGGTTGAAATCTTCTGAGCTGCTTTCTCTGGTAATATGTTAAGCCATAAGAAATAATGGAATATTTGTTCATCCAATTATGGATTTGATGGGTGAACTGTTCAGTGGATGAAGAACTGGCTGCAGGATTGCGTCCAGAAAGTGGTGGTCAACGGCTCCATATCTGGATGGAGACCAGTGATGAGTGGATTCCCCTGGGAGTCAGTGCTGGGGCCGATACGCTTTAGTATCTTTGTCAATGACATTGACAGTGCGGTTGAGTGCACCCTCAGCAAGTTTTGCTGATAATACGAAGCTGTGGGGTGCAGTTGACACACCAGAGGGACAGGATGCCATCAAGAAGGACCTAGACAGGCTTGAGGAGTGGGCCTAGGAGAAATATGTGAGGTTCAACAAATACAAGTACGAGGTCTTGCACCTTGGTCGAGGCTGGGAGAGCTGGGGCTGTTCAGCATGGAGAAGAAAATGCACTGGGGGAGACCTGGTAGTGGCTTTTCAGTATTTAAAGGGGAGCTAGAGGAAAGAAGGAGACAGACACTTTAGCAGGATTTGTGGTGATAGCACAAGAAGGAATCACTTCAAGCTTAAAGAGGGTAGATTGAGGTATATATTTATAAGGAAAAAGTCTTTTACAGTGATGGTGGTGAGGCTCTGGAATAAATTGCTCAGGGAAGTGTTAGATGCCTCGTTCCTGGAGACATTCAAAGTCAGGCTGGAGGGGACTGAGCAATCTGATCTAGTTGTGATGTCCCTGTTTATTGCAGGGGGGTTAGACTAGATGACCTTTAAATGTCCCTTCCAACTCTAAGGATTCTTGTAAAACTAAATCTGCTCTGGCACTGATTCAATTGCTTTCCATTTGCAAAGTTTTCTGAAGAATGATTTGAAGATCAGAAAACTCTTTCAGCCAGAACTGCTGTATCTCACTTGAGGTTTCAAATGATACATTGTGCTGTAGGTAATTTGCAATTCAGAGAGCTGTTTTGAAGTTCCAACAGTTTTCTCTTTCTTAGCTCTGTAATCTTTCGTATTTTAAGTGTGATATAAATAAGCTAAGACTCAAGTACAGTGAAGTTAAATGAAACTGATCATATTAAAAGAAAGTGGACAGACCGAAATCCATTGTTCACTTGGCTTTTGTATTGACAGATGAGGGTCTCAAAAAATGTCTCCAGTTTGCAGTTTTGTATACTGTTCTCTTGCCCTGTAGACTTAACCCATGTCCATGGTGGTGTTACCTTATGGGGTGAGGAAAAGAATCTTAGAATCATAGAATGATTTGGGTTGGAGGAGGCCTTAATGGTCATCTAGTTCCAACTCTCTGTCATGGTTAACCAATAGATCAGGCTGCTTAAGATCCCAGCCAACCTGGCCTTGAATGCCTCCAGGGTTGGGGCATCCACAGCTTCTCTGGTCACCTTGTGCCAAGTGCCTCACCACCCTTTTCTTTGAGTAAAGATTATTTTTCCTGATATCTAATCTAATTCTCTCTTAATTTAAAACCGTTGCTCCATGTTCTATCGCAACAATTCTAAGATGTCCTTCGCCATCTTTCCTGTAGACCGTCTTTTATGTACTGGAAGGCTTTGTACAAGTCCTTGTAGATGTCATCAGTTGTAGTTCTTTATTTACCAACCTTGTAACCTCAACGTAGTAGGCCACCAAGTTTGTCAGACATGATTTGACTTATTGAAGCCACGTTGGCTGTCACCAGCCAGCTCTGTTTTTAAAGTGAATTAGCACAGTTTCCAGGTTGATCTTCTGCGTAATCTTTCCAGGCACGGAGGTGAGACTGTGTGGCCTCTAGTTCCTCAGGACTTTTTTTTTCTTCTTTTTAAAAAATTGAAGTTATATTTCCCCTTTTCCAGTCAGTGGGAACTTCACCACACTGCAGTGAATTTTCAAGGAAAAGGAGGTGGGAATGTTAATAAAGGGAACAAATATAATACCCACTGTTTGATCTGGGGAACAAAGCTGTTACAGAAATCTTGATAACTTCAGAAATCATCTCTTAAGATGCTATTTTGATTCCTTTATGATACAAAATCAGGACAAGGAGTGTGCTAATGCAGCTTAAAATTGGACCCAGTATTTCTGTACACACATAAAACTCAGCACTGTAGGGCTATTTTAAGTGCAGAAATCTGGAGATTTAGATTAATACTTAAAATTTCAATGTTAATCCTTAGTTTTATTTACGTATTGAAAACAAGTCTTTTATCGTTCTAGAGGAATTTACTTCTATTGTGACTCATTCTTATCTTTTGGATGCTTATTTGTGTACACATGTTCTTTGCTATGGGCATTTCTGAGGTTTATAAACAAAAGGATTTATTTTGTTTCTGTAATAAGTTTTTACCACCTCAATATGTTCTTAAATTATACTTGCTTAGTGTGCACTTGTGGAATCTTGTCTCAGGCTGTGCTCACTTACAGTCACTTAATTGTTTTTCTGAATTATGGTAATACCTGCATTACAATTAAACTGATTTAGGTGTGCTAGAAGTTATGCGGTCCTGTCATTGTGGAAGTCACCTGAAATTTCTAACTCAAATACTGGGTGAATACTAAGATTTTGTCAAAATCATATTTTTGTTAGTACCCAGACAACTACTATTTTGGTTTATGTCTGTGTAACAAAGTGATCAGCATAGGCATATGCTAATCTAGAATTTTTATACATTTAGTAGCGCTTATACATGAGAAAAAAACTGTGAATTACAAATTTAAAGCATTTCCTTTGGAGCCAGGGCTATAAAAGCTTGCATTTTCACAGAACTGTGGATGCCTGCTTCCTGCCTGTTCTGAAAATTTTGTGAAGATGATTTGCTGATAAAATATAGGAGTTTAAGAAAAAGACTAAACTCCAAGAGAGCATAGCAGTATAAAGTTGGTAGTTTAGAACAAGTGTTTAGTGTTGTTTCAAAGACAGCATTTTCTGTAGCCTTTTAGATTTTCAGGATTTGCAAGTGGAAAACCTGGTGTTCTGTAGGAGCAAATACTGGTTCTACATTTAATTGGGAAGAATCAGTGGAAGAAGTATCAGGGTTAGGGATAACTTTCTATGGATATTTTTTAATAGGAAAAGTTCTTGGAGTAACAATGGATGAAAAGCTGACAAATTAGCTGTTGTTTAAATCTTATAACTATATTCTTAGGATTCTTAAACAGAAAGACTGCAGGTAAGATTTGTGCTAATAAACCTTGAGCTGGAAAACTGCTCAGTTTTGGATTATTGATTTGAAGAAAGAAATGGCCCCATTGAAAAAAAAGAGCTGAGGTATACTCTGAAATCTAAATGTAATTTTTT